GGGTGCAGTGGGGGCTGTATGTCGGTCCCTCCTCCACGGGGGAACACAGGCGATGGGGAGCAGCCCCCCTCTGCTGCCCTAGAGCCTCTCCCCCAGCACCCGGAGGTGATACACCACGATCCTCCCAAAGAAGTCGGTGCTGTTCTCAAACGTGATCTTCAGCTTATCCAGCACCGTCTCCTCCACCTGGAACCTGTGCGGGGCCCGTGAAGGATCGAAACAGGCAGCGGGATGCCAGGACACGTGGAGACCCACTGCAAGGGTGATGTGTGGAGCAGCTCCGGCTCTGCCGAGGAGCTGCAGCAGCAGCACCCACAGTGCTGTGTTTAAATCACAGCTCTGCCATCACCCCCCTACCCCTCCGCAGCCTCGGGGAGCTCTGAACCCCTCTGCCAAAGCTCTGCCGAGGAGCTGCAGCAGCAGCACCCGCAGCGCTGTGTTTAAATCACAGCTCTGCCATCGCCCCCCTACCCCTCCACAGCCTCGGGGAGCTCTGAACCCCTCTGCCAAGGGGCTCGACCTGGCCCCCAGCGCAGCAAAGGATATCTGCATGGCGTTGCTGTCCTCAGGGTACACGGTGGAGATTTGCTCCAGTTCTTTGCCTTCTCTGCACCCTGCAGAGGACAAAATCCTCCCTGTGTCTGCCCTGCTGCAGGGCCGGCACCAGGTTCCCATCTGCACCCAAAGCATCCCAGAGAAGCCCAGGCCCTTACAGTTCACCCCTCTCTGCTCCATCCCATGGCCTCAGCCCCTCCAATGGTTTGGGAATGGCTAACAAATACCCTTAGCCTTGCAAAAAAACCAGCTGTGGGATGTAGGTGTGGGGAAACTGAGGCAGAGGGACCCCCGAGTCCCCAGTCCAGCTCCTCACCTTCCAGTGTGCACAGCCGGCTGGAGAATCCCCCCTGGAACTGGATGTGAAGCTGCGAGATCTTGACAGAGCAGGGGAAATCCAGGGTGACCCACTGGCACGTGCCCTGAGGGCAGGAATGACACCAGGGGCTCTGTCACAGTGGGGACAACGGGGGGTTCGCCGTGTGCATGGCTCCCGTCTCCCCTGCACAGCTCCCATCCCACCCTCCAGCTCCCCCCATCCTCATCCCCAAACCTGGTCCGAGTTCCAACACGTCTCCTCGCTCGCATCGAACATGTGCTTCTTCCCAAACTGCTTCACATCCCGGTTGAGCACGGAGCTCACCCTGCAGGGACACACGCCACCACCCCGGCGACACGATGGGGACACAGCGTCGGTGTTGGGACACGAGTCCTGTGCAGGGACTCGGGGCACCCCTCCTGGCGGTGGTGGCCGCAGCACCCCGCTGCCCCCCCGGGGGCTGGGACTCACCGTGTGGCCGTGTTGGAGCAGATCAGGGGCTCCACG